GTTAATGATATCATCAGTAGAAACACAGTTAGCAAATTCCGGATCTTTTAAGTGAAAATTATTTTCAATAGTAGTTTCAACATTTTCATGCGATTCTGAGTTTTGTACTAATATTCTAGCACAATCATTTTTATACCTATTGATAGTTAAACTATTATTAGTTATGTTATAAATGTTTATACATTCTTTATATACTGACCATCTATTGGTTTTGTTGATTTGTATTTTAAGTTTTCTACAAATATCGTCGATTATATCTGAATTAAATATTAAAAAATTCGACATAGAGTAATTCGATTATTCTAGAATTTCCATTATTTTAGAACTTCTACATCTATTATTTATTGAAAAACTATTGTCTGTTTCAATCACAGGAACCATATTTTTTAAGATTTTCCTTATACATGAATTTTTATAGTTAATATAGTACACAATTCGTTTTTTTAATTTTATATCATTTGGTTTTTTATAGATTTTTTCATAAATATTAACTACACAATTATGTTTAATTGTTACTTTGGAATAATCTAATTTAGGATATTCAATATTTATTTGTTGATGTAAAGATTATTTAAACTTTTAAAAATAACGTTAACAACTTTTGTATATCTATTCGACAACTTAAATCACAGAACTATACTCTTAAAGGTAGACGTAAACTACTTTTATATAACTGTTCGACAATAAAATTGCCAGAACTATACTTTTTAGGGTAGACGTAAACTACCTATTTATATTTCTTTGACAACTTAAATGTCAGAATTGTATTGAGTTACTTACGGTCACTCAATACCAAAGGGTAGGAAAAGAGGAAAATAAAGGATAAAATATTAGGATAGTTTTTAAAGGTTTGAGGAAAAAAAGTTAAATATAAGGATAAAGAATATAAAATATGGAATTAAATCAATTTTAGAATTGTGGAAAGGATAGGAGAAATAGTTGTTCGACAAATCATATATCAGATCTATACTCTTCCGGGTATACTTAAACTACCTTTGTATAACTGTTCAGCAATAGAATTCTCAGAACTATACTCTTAAGGGAAGATGTAAACTACCTATGTATAATTGTTTAATAACTTAAATGTCAGAACTGTCTTGAGTGACTGTGAACAACATAATACCAATGAGCAGGACAAGGAAAAGAAAATAAAGGATGAATTTAAGGAATGTTTTTCAAAGGATGTAAAAAAAAAAATTAAAAAAAAATATATATATATATACTTACCTTTTTTTTTATACATATCGCAAAATAATTTCTTCATTAGCTTCTCTATTAAATAAAAAATATTAATAATTTGAAAGATATTTACTGTAAAATATTTTTATTCATATGTTAAACTTAATTATATTTTTACCTTTTTTGGGAGCATGTGAAGGTATTAATTTTGCTATAACTATTTTAAAGAAGTTTGGAAATGTATTATTTTACTCTTGGAATACTATACAGAATGATTCTTTAACTACATCTCACTAAATATTTTTGAAAATATGAGAGTTCATTCTTTGTATTTATTTATTTTTTTTTTTTGCAACAATATTGCTTATTTGTTAAGATATTCTATGAAAAAAATTAAATTTCTAACATCATCCCTAAATCTTTAAACTATTATTAACTTTTGTTTTTGAAATGTTTGTTGAAAAAAAACTAATTGCTGTTTATTTTCAAAAATATTTCTTGAGGCGTAGTTAAAAAATTAGACTGTATATTTGTTTATACATATGTAATAACAGCGCATAAAATTATAATATTATAATTATTCTAATTTTAAATCAGATACCAGATTTAAAAAAAAAATTTTTGAAAATAGCAAATGGCCGGAGTAAGTTGTAGTTTTTTCGAACCGGCGGATTATAAAATATTAAATAATATTATAAAATGATAATATTAAGAATTTCTGGGCAATTAATAATTAAAAATTTATTATTCAATAATTATTGAATAAAAGATAAATACAAGGAAATAATTACACTCAGATGCATAAAATGCGAAACTTTAATCGAATTAGTAACATTTATATTATAAGCATATAGATCACATCACCGTTAACGACAAAAAATGATTTGAAAATATATAAAGACATAAACCATACATCACACTAGTTATGAAATCTATATAAATCATCATTTAGATTATGACTATTTGCAGTTGAACAAATAGCATCAGTTTTAAAAAAAAAAAAATAATAAAACTTTTGTTTCAGTTGTAGGTTTAGAAGTTAAAATTTTTATTAAGACATATTTAAAATCGTATCGAAGCTAAAAATTAATATCGATGCTAAAATTTATTTTTTACTATTGTTATCAAAATGTTTACATTGTATTGTTATAACTTTCAAAAAAAAAAACATTTTAATCAATATGTATAATTTTATTAGAGCGAGTAAATTTCATTAAATTAAATATTACTTTGTTTATTACCAAAAATTAATTAATTTTCGTTGAAATATGTACTTAAATTATCAATTATAAATGCACATTGCCAGCGTTAACGAAAATTTAAGTAATTACATAATAACTATTTTCCGGATTATAACATATTTTAATACAACATATATTTTCCGTTCTTTCACCGAAACAACAGTATATTATTTTACCAATTAATTCAGAAATCATATGATAAAATAACACAAAAATTACATAGAAAAGATACGCCATTTAAAACCATAATTGACTTTTTTGAAAAAAAATTTAATAATTTTCTAAAAAGCGACAATATGATGTCAAAATATTATTTAAAAATTTTTATGAATGTTTTATTAAGGTTACCGTTAATTATGAACTTTTAAAATTGCATAATGCCATCCTCTAGAATTGTTCGAATACCAAAAAAATATAAATGTGCAAAAATTGGTGATGATTGTCAAACTCTAAGGCGTGCCCCAAGGGGGTTAAAAATGAAAGGGAAGATTCTTAGTTTTTTTTTGTCTATCTCAAAAACATTAACTTTTATAAAAAAGTTCCTAGACATTTTTTGTAGGTATAATATTTTTCTCTAAAAAAGATATCTACAAAAAATTTTGAAAAATTGTTATTTAACCTAAAATGATAATGAAAATGAAAATGTTCTATATTTACCGTTGAAACTATTAACTTGATTTATTTTATAAACCGTTCACTATAGAAAAAAAATGTCACAAAAGTTGTTTCAAATTAAATTTTCTATATATTTTTTATCTAACATTTTTTTTATCATTTACTATTCATAAGGTATGTCGATTATTCTATGAAATTATACGGTTTTCTCAATATCTTCATAAATTTAAAAACCACAAAATTCGTTGTTTATAGGCTTAGAAAATAGTAATTCATAAGATAAAGTTATTGTTTATTATTTTTAAACGTTTTATTTTATTACATGTTTTTATCTGATATACTCCAAAAGAAAGATGGAAAACTTCTTCTTTCATTATCAAAAAAACAACTAGTTGAAAGTTTACCAATAATTATGTCATATAATAATGTAGAGCAACTACTCAATGTACCTGAAATTTCATCTGGTTCGGGGGAATGTCAAGCACAGTGGCGGCTCGCCGGGTGAGGCAAGTGAGACACAATCTCACCTGCAATTTATCTTATAATAATTTATTTATTTCGAGCCTCTATCAATATCAAATATCTTTCAAAATATTATAATTAACGCAATTTGTAATCTTGAACCATAAAAGATAATAGGACGAAAATAGATAACATAATGTTACACCTGACAGGCGCTGCACAAACACAGTGAGATATAACACGGTAGTTAGTGCAGAAACCAAACGTCTGCGCTCGCCGTTCGTTAATGATTAAAAAATAAATATAGTTTAAAAAACTAAAAAAACACGCTTTTAAAGCACATCGAACTAAAAAGTTAAAAATAATTTTTAAAATAAGTTTAAAATAATTATTAACAAAAAATACTAGTATTATTGTGATAAAAGCGTCAGGCGCTCAATATACAAAAAATATGGCATAAAGCACCCATGCTTTTTTTCACAATAATACTAGTATTTTTCGTTCATTATTGGTTTTAAGTTAATTTTAAAAATTATTTTTAACTTTTTAGTTCGATGTGCTTGAAAAGCGTGTTTTTTAGTTTTTTTAAACTATATTTATTTTTCACTTTTTAGTTTCATGTTATGATAGTAGTTAATATCAATATGATGGTTGTAACGGGTAACGGGAAATAAGGGTTCGATTCCGGAGAGGGAGTCTAAGAAACGGCTACCACATCCAAGGAAAGCAGCAGGCGCGTAAAGTGGAGGTAGTGACGAAAAATAACGATACGAGAATCATCCTCCGTAATCGGAATGAATACACTACATATCTCTTAATGAGAATAAAGTGTATTAATATATAAGTTTTAATAGTAATTAGAATATATATATATATATAAAGGGACTTAAGTACGTAAACGTATCATGCATGAGGTATAGCCGTGTTTATGTGGGCGGGCATGGCGGAGGGAACATTATACACGAGGCATATACGGCAGCAGAGGCGTCGGCTGTAGGAATATATAAATGAATATTAACATATACGTATATACGTACAAATATTAATATATATATATTAATATTATAATTAGCGGTGGCGGTAGGAATATATAATCTTCGCATAATATCGCGGCACTTTTGCTGGCGTCGAAGACGCGATGTCCGGCGTGATCCTCGGGCGTCAATATGTTAGCAGCGTAGATGACGACGGTGCGCGAGTGCGGATCAGTTTGTTGACGATGTTATTTTGACAATGGGAAGAAGACTACGGTATAGCGGCGGGACGTCGTCGGCCGTGCGGCACTTGCTGGACTTTGCACCGCGGCGTAAAACGACGCGGGGCTGTGTCAATTACAATAAAAATTTGTTATATATATATATATAATTGATGATAAGCGCGTGTCTACGGGTTGGAAAATATTGTTCTCTACGAGTGGTGAGCGGGGTGGGGCGAATGCGTTACAACAGTATAGTCTCAAGGTCATACACGACGGGATACGCGACATAATAACACGTNTCGGGATACGCGACATAATAACATGTGCCGCGTGGAGTTACAAACTTACAAACGACAAACAACAAACAACATACACGTGAAACTAATATAAGCGTGTTAATGACAACACGTTACACGACTGATTACGAAGTAAACCGATGAGGTCCGAGAGGCAAACTTTTTTTTGATTCAGTTGCTATACTGGATTAATTAGATTGATTGGTGGGGGGAGAGTCCTAAATACTTGGTAAAATGAGGCTGATGTAAATTTTCCTCAACGGTGAACACCATCGTGTGCCAGGTGGTTTCAAATGCGAAACGGCATTTTACATATAAATTAAATGGAATCGACAATATGTCGTTATTGTTCCTAATCTATGCTTACCCCACAAAAACAACAAACGAATTACGTTTATCACATCAGTTATCAGTCAATGTATAAAACTATTATACGTTTATAATTTTTCATCTTATAATTTATAAACATTTCAAAGAATTAACATGTTACCGATTAATACAGCTATTATCTACGTGTATCTATAATCTTAAAAATAGGTATATTCTTTATTCAAATTTACTTAATTAAAAGTTTGCCTCACCACTTCCGAGACCCACGAGCCGCCACTGGTCAAGCAACAGCTGTCTTTGCAGCAATTGAAAAATGGGGTTTAACTAAAAGAGTAAAATCATTATGTTGTGATACAACAGTTTCTAATACAGGTAGACTTAAAGATGGCTGCATATTATTGGAGCAAAAGTTGGGGCGTAATATTTTGTATTTACCGTGTAGATATCACATTTTTGAAATTTTATAAAAAAAAGTTTTTGAAATCAAGTTTAATTCATCATCTACTCCAGATGTTCTTATATTCAATAAATTTCAAAAGTCTTGGTAAAATTATTTAAGTGGAATGGAAGATATTATTGTTTTAGAAAATTAAAAATAATAAAAGATGATATTTTGAAATTTAGTTTTGATCCAATACCAACCTCGAGATGTCAATAAGAAACTTTTAGAACTGGTCATAATATTTTTTGGTGAAACACCTCTAAATGCGATTGAGGCTTGGAACGGGACTACGTTAAGATGAAGTGGTCGGTGTATCCACTAAGAGTCGCCGTCCAAGAACAACAAAATCATTTTGACCTGTTGTATATCGGTGACTCTGACAAGTATCATTACGCGTACATTTCAGATTTTTCGAGGCTCGTGCGCAGCCAAAAAACTAAACACAAATGTCGCATATACACTTGCAGACGTTGCTTCACTAGCTTTGATGATCAACCTAAGAAACATATTCTTTGAGGTCAACAAGCGTTGGAGCAACACAAGTTAATATGCGGCAAGGATAAACCAATTTTACCTGTTATGCCGGCAGAGGGTAGTAAGGTCGCCTTTGACGCGTGGGTAAAGACGCAACAGTTACCGTTTGTCATTTACGCTGATTTTGAGGCCTTGCTGGAGCAAACATACAATCGTATAGGTGCCTATACTAGGACTGTGCACACACACCATCCTATGAGCTACGGGTTCATGGTAAAAACATCGGACGTTGTGCCCTCCGAGCTTCTCGAACTCTACGGTATACCGCAATCACCGGTAATATACCGTGGCTCTGAGGATCGCGAAGAGGTCGCCAAGGCATTCGTAATGGCTGTAACGGAAGTGACGCGCAACATTTCCAAATTGTTGCGTAAAACTAACGTTCCCATCCGAATGTCTGTCGATGATGTGCGCAGGCATAGGGAAAAAATGCTATGCGACTTATGTCGCACGGCATCCAAGGATTCCACCCCAAAGTCGCAGACCACTGCCATCTATCGGGCCGTTGTGCAATGCGTGTAACCTGAAAGTGAAGACTGTTAACTTTGTGCCGTGCTTCTTGCACAATCTTTCGGGTTACGACGCGCATTTCATCGTCACTGAATTGGGGTACGACGACTAAAGGATTTCGGTCATACCGAATTCCGAGGAGAAGTATATTTCGGTCACGAAACACGTGACCAATAACTTCTCCATACGGTTTGTCGACACCTTCCGGTTCATGGCCTCCTCCCTGTCCACCTTGGCCGGTAACCTAATGACACCCGATTTCGTTAAATTCCGGGAAACGGCCAAGGTGTTCCGCCCGGAAGATATGCCGTTGGTTACGCGTAAAGGCGTATACCCTTACGAGTACACTGATAGTTGGGCTAAATTGGACGAAACGGAACTACCACCTCAGGACGCTTTCTATAGTCAGTTGAGTGAGTCTAATATTGATGACGACGACTATAGACACGCCACAGAGGTGTGGAACCGTTTCAGCTGCTCAACCCTCGGTGAGTACAGCGACCTATACCTAAAGATCGACGTGCTGTTGTTGGCTGACGTTTTTGAGAACTTTCGCGACATCTGTACTACAACATACAATTTGGACCCGGTACACTATTATACCGCACCGGGTTTTAGCTTCGATTGTATGTTGAAGTACACCAGGGTGAAGCTGGAGCTCTTAAACGACTACGACATGCTACTGATGGTGGAACAGGGTATTCGTGGTGGGCTGGTGCAGGCCGTCAAGCACTATGCCAAGGCCAATAATCCAAAGACACCGGATTACGATTCAACAAAACCAGACTCATGGATCGTCTACCAAGACTGTAAGTATTATATATAAGTGTAATAAATGAGAGATAATTAAAGAAAGTTAAAAATAATTACAGGCAATAACCTGTACGGTTGGGCTATGAGTCAGCCCATGCCGTACGGAGGCTTCCGGTGGTATGAAGGAGCAGATCCTCTGACCGACCTTCAATTGCTTCCGGACACTGGTAATACGGGGCGTATATATGAAGTGGATGTATCGTATCCAGAAGAGCTGCATGACGAGCACAACGACTTGCCGTTCTTGCCTGGCAACGATGTACCACCGGGTTCCAAAGAGACCAATCTCATGGCCACTTTGAAACCCAAACAACGGTACGTCGTACACTATGTCAACTTGAAACAGGCGATTGCACACGGACTGCAAGTCGATAAAGTATATACATCGTACCTAGAGCTATTAGTTATGATATTAATATGCTTGTCACACAGGTGCACCGCGTTTTAGAGTTTCAACAAAGTGCTTGGTTGAAACCGTACATTGAGTTGAACACTGAAATGCGGAAACAGGCGGCAAATGCTTTTGAAATATCGTTTTTCAAATTAATGAATAATGCCGTCTTTGGTAAGTGCACGCTCAATGCTAAAGCAGTTGTATGTTATTCGATAAACATTTACATTTTATAGGGAAAACCATGGAGAACATGCGGAAACGCATCCGTATTGAGCTAATCTCCAGTCCCGAACGTCTATGCAAGCTCGTAAACCAACCAAACTTCAACGACTGTATCAAATACGGCGAAAGCTTGTGCGCCATCATAATGGACACAAAGATTGTCAAGTTTATCAAACCAATATACGTCGGTTTAGCAGTGCTTGACATTAGCAAGTTGCTAATGTACAAGTACTTCTACGACGTATTAAAACCTCATTATGGTGACGCAATCAGCCTGGTTTACATGGATACTGGTGAGTACAACCGTACAGCAGAAATATTTTTACTATATTTATATATTTTTAATTTTTTTTTTCAGACTCCTTCATTTACCTGCTCAGAGTCAGAGACTTTTACCAGGATTTAGCCGACAGTCCTGATTTACTAGTGCACGTGGACGCATCTAGCCTGCCCAAGGATCACTCTTGTTACTCGACCTCGAGGAAGAAGACACCTGGTCTGTTTTCAGACGAGACCGGCGGCCTCACTCTTTTTGAGATCGCTGCACTTCGTTCAAAGTGCTATGCATTTGACATGGAAGGCAGCGAACTCATCAAGTCTAAGGGGATCCGCGGACACGTCATCCGCAACCATCTGTCTTTGGACGATTACAAACGATGCTTGTTTGAAGACGATAACGATGGCGACGATGCGTCAAAACGAGCGTTGGCCGGAGAGAATGCCCGTGTAGTCATCGGAGCCGTACGTGATGGTGAGATTCCACCGACATTATCACTACCGTACACTCCGTACCGACAGAACGTGTCAATTCGTTCTTTCGAGCACGAGGTACGCACTTTACGTACAACCAAGTTGGCGCTTAACCGTTTCGACGATAAGCGCTACACGCTCGACAACAGAGTTGACACGCTGGCTTACGGTCATTATGCCATTCCATCGGAAGAAATTTANTTACGGTCATTATGCCATTCCACCGGAAGAAATTTGATCAACATTATTTTTTATAATAGTAATAAGATTGTAAAATTCTTTAAATATCCATATTGACAAATGTAAAATATATTGTATGCTTAATCGTGTAATTGAATTTTATGATAAGGTTTTTTGTAAATATAAGTGTTGTATATATAGTTGTAAATATAGTTTTAAGATTTTTTAATGTAATATTTTACTGAATTAAAATTGTAAATAAATGTAATTTAGAATTCATATTATAATAAATGGTTAATAAATATCTATTTTTATAATTAAAACAAAAATATTTACCCATTTTGTATTTTGATAATACCATATTATTAAACAATAGGTATTAATAACCTATAGTAAGTACTACACGTATTTTAGAACTATAAATATTCAAATCATTAATATACATTTTTTTATGGAAAATATATTGTACGAATACAAATGAGAATATTACAAAATCATTTTTTGACAATAATGTTACATATTATAATTCATCCACTGTTCTAAGCAAATTGCCTTGTATAAACTACACACGGTCGGGTTGTTCATGTGTCGGATACAACACATTTTTGTAACACAACTTAAATTGTACAGCGGTGGGCAGTCCAAATCCTCGACGTTGACTATACGTTGTCCCGGTATGTACTTTTCCACTACTCGCTTTTTCACAGCTCCTTTCACGTAAATGGTCTCGCACCGCAACAGTTTCATGATTCTCGGCAACTCATTGTATTCAACGTCACCGCAACGAGTATCCATTCCATGTAGGTATTTTTTCAACCAAAAGTTTGTTTTAGCATCACCCTCGATACTTTTTGGATGTTTAAACATCCAATGAGCGAATGAAGTACAGTCTATGGCAATGACAGTCAGTTCCTTGACCAAAAACGATTGGTCGGCTGCCACAATATCTTGTATATCGACAATCATTGAGGTGAGATATTGGTTTTCGGTATCCATGAGTTGTGCTCTGGACCAAATCCTAACCATTTAACGAAGCACTGGTCCCCTCGTGTTCGCAACACTCGTTCGACTAAATACATGTCCGGATAACTGGTCTTGTTCAGCTCTTCGGTGTAAAACAAACCACGTATTGGATTTCCCTGATAGTCTTCTAGATAGTATGTTGGCGGTACTGTTTGCCTAACCTTAACTATGGTAAACCGTTCGGTGCTCCAGTTTGGTAAGTAACCCTTATCAAACACTGATTTATGTACACTGATCCGCACCTTGTCACCCACACGAAATTTTACCGGTAAATTATCCGGTATTTGACGCAACTTGAACCGAACCAGGTCTGGGTTTTTCACTGCTTGCACTGGTGTCATTCCGATTGTTCTATGTTTACGCACGTTATTGTAGTCATGCAACAGCGCAGACAACCGATTCACCCATTTGTACGAGCCACGTGCACTAAAGTCACGCCACATTGCATTTTTCAGCGTACGGTTAAAACGTTCCACTAGACACGCTTTCATCGTGGAATAAGTAGAATAATGATTGATTGCGTATTGTGACATCAGTTTTTGAAATTGTTTATTGTAAAATTCTTTACCATTGTCCGTTTGCAAAAGCTTAGGATGACGACCATGTTTCAGTATTCCGTTCATGGCTGCGGTAACTTCGTTGGCCGTTTTATTTTTCAACGGGACGGCCCACGTGTATTTTAAAAATCCATCGACGCACGTTAAAATATAACGATGTCATCGATCAGGGTATGCGCGCATTTCCACGAGGTCAGCGTGCCATATATCATCGAGACCCTTGATATTTATCCGGGCACGGGTATACGTCCTGCGAGCCTGCCGGTGTAGTTCGTTAGCAATNTTGACGGTGGAGTTCGTTAGCAATGTTCTTATTCATAACGCCACTGGTATCTGTTCAATGTAACCGGCTTCCTGCAGCTCTTCCAATATAGAAACGATTTCCGGTGAAACTCCAGTGTTGCCAGCCGACCGGGCTGATATCAATAAACGTAAACGTTCCACGAGCTCGTTGGGGTCGTCCCAGTAAACGTAATCTTTTTTCTTGTTGTTCAATCTCAATTGTAGACCCGCACCGATAATGGATGTGTCACTGATGTTGCTGCTGCTGCTTTCAAACAACGGTAAGGAATTGTTTGGGTTACCACCATAACCGTTATCAAACAATGGTTTAATGGTGTTTACATACTTTTGACCTCCTTTTTTCAATGTTCCGTCTTTATTTAAATGCACACCGGTTTTGCCGAGAATCGTTTTGTACGCATGCAAATCCGATTCGGAGTAAACTCCAGGGTTTTTCGAAAACAGTAAATCCACAAGACCCATAGTCAGAGGGAATTTTTCATCTAAAACATTAATTGTTCCTCTNCGAGAGAACAATATAGAGCCACTAAACAGTCACGAGATTTAAAATGTGTTGTATTGCGACGAATAAATCCTAACATACGCAAAGCTTTACCAACTATGAGGTCAATATGTGGTCTAGAATCTAGCGAGGGGACAAAAACAAAACCCAGATCGTTTACTTGGGAGACCCGTTTTAACACTACATTGTCGAGAAAATAATTGTGATTTATCATTTCACTAGATCGGTAAAATGACATGACTTTACATTTTCCAGCACTAAGACATAAACCAACTGTCTTACACCAAATGACAAATTGATCTAAGACTTTTTGGAGAGTCAAACAATCATCTACTTTAGATATTTTATAAAATATTTTAGCGTCATCAGCAAAAAGAATAATACGACATGGAGAGGCAATAGAAAAAATCCCATTTATAAAAATATTGAATAATAAAGGACCTAAATGACTACCTTGAGGTACACCACTAGGAGTAGGAAAGATCTTGGATGAAATACCAAATAATTGGACAAACTGACTTCTTCCACTTAAGTATGATTTAACCCAAGACAAAAAAGGTTCACCGACACCTAAACGGTCTAAGATAAAAACTAAAATGTTGTGATTAATGGAATCAAAAGCTTTAGAGAAATCTGTGTATATAACATCAACTTGAGATTTAGATTCTAACGCTTCATGAACATAGGACAAGAAATCAAGAGAACAAGTGACAGTGGAACGTTTAGGGAAGAAGCCATGTTGATCAATAGATAAAACTGATAAAAATTTCAACTGAATATGTTTTAAGACAATTGACTCAAAAATTTTACCTAACCAAGGCAAACAAGAAATGGGTCGATAGTTTTTGACATCGGAAGGATTGCCATTTTTCAAAATAGGAGTCACTCTACTAATTTTCCAAGAAGAAGGAAAAACACCTTCATTGAGGGATTTATTGAAAATAAGGGAAATAGGAACAGAGAGTATATCACGACAGTGATATAAAAACAAAGGAGAAATTCCATCAGGACCCAACCCACGTGTCTTTGACAACTGCTCCAATGCTTCGAGTACTTCATCACAAGATATAGAAAGAGAAGAGGGAAGGAAAGTAAAATGAGGTAGGTTAAGATCATCAAGATGATCAGATGAGGGTATGGAATGATTGTTGTAAACGGATGAAAAATAAGACGAGAAGAGATCGGGAACATGGATACCAGATGCTTTTTCAGTACCAAGGAAAACCTCGTTAGGAATTTTGTTCTCACCTTGGCGTTCACGAACAAAGGACCAAAACATACGAGGATTACAACGTAGGCGTTCTTGAGTGAAATTTAAATAATTATTATATAGATACTTAGATTCAGCTTTACATTGGGAACGCAGGAGAGAAAAATTATAGTACAACGAAGCACTACCATTAATTTTGTAAAGTTTATGAGCATATTTTTTTTTAGCCAAAAGATTTTTTAATTTAGAAGACGCCCAAGGAGGGAAGGTTGACTCACGAAATGTCTTAATAGGTATAAATTTATGAATAACAGATGTGAGGTTTGTTTGCACAAAATCAGCAGCTTCATTGGTTGACAGCATGCTAAGATTATCAAACCAATTGATAGAATTAAGTGCGCCATTAATCAAATCATAATTAGCATTATTAAAATCGTAAAATTTATGTTTGGTATCAAACGAGGGGATAAAACATTGGTTGAGGCAAGATATTGAGAGTGCAAGATGGTAAGAATCGCAGGGCAAAAGGTAATCAAGGGCTTTATTAACATGAACATTACTGGCATTAGTAAATAACAGATCCAGAGTAGAATCATTAACATTTCGTATTTCATTAATCTGATTAAAATTAATTAAAGAATACTGGTCACCTATTAATCGGACTTTATCAGATATAGGACCGTAATATTCTAACCTAGTAGAAGTATTTACCCATTTAACATTTGGAAGGTTAAAGTCTCCAAATACCATACCAAAACTAAAATTATTTGAACCCCATATTTTATCTAATGAAGCTACATGATTTTCATAGATACAAATATCTGAACCAGGAGGCAAGTATACACAAGCAATAAGCGCTGTAACACCTCTGAGTAGAGTAATCTGTACAAAAATTTGCTCAACACTATCAGAGGGGGATTTTATTAAAACGGGATTAAGCTCATTTTTCACTGCGATAAGAGTTCCTCCTCCACGAATACATTTACTGTTTTCGGAATTACGATCACATCTAAAAATCATACACCCTTTAAAACCTAACTCAGAATTAGCGATGTCCGCAGAAAGCCAAGTTTCAGTTAAAAGATATATATCATAATTAAGAGTGACTAGATTAGTACGTAAATTAAATAGCTTTGTACGTAAACCCCTGACATTTTGGTAGTACATATTAAGTGGTTTTGAGCATTTACTAGCATAAGGATTACTTACAATGTTACGAGAGTGAGATAAACTGGAAATTACAGAGTTAGGCTCTAAGTAATTCCGAAATTTATCAATAAAATCAAAATATACATTAATTGAAGATATACAATTAGCACAAATAGAACAATTAAAATTTATAATAAAGGACGAGTTTTGATGGTGGTTCGGATTGATGAAAAATTGATCCGAAACTAGTTTTTTGAAGACTGAATGGTGGAGTGTTGTTGTGGTTGGCGAATCGATCTTGTTTGGTGGTCATCAGCAACAATGAGTGGTACGCCATTAATATATTTTATCCTGATATTAGTTTCACCTTTATTCCTACGTTCTGCTAGATCGGAATATCCACCACGGATGTGACTACGCTCTAACATGGTACGATCACGAGTAACGGACAATGGGAATTTGGGTGAACTTGAACCACGAGATCTCAAAGCAATATTATAGTTAGATAAGAAATTAATTGCAATTTCCTTCGAAGGAAAAATAACTTTAAGCGGTCGTGGACCTCTTGCATTTACACGGCCCAACCGAAATAACTTTAAATTATCCGGTAGAATCACTGACAGAGGTTTTAAGAATTCAGACAAAAGTTTAGAGTCGTCAGAAATTCTATCAGCCGGTAAAGAAGAGGAAGACTCAGAAAGTCCATGAACAATAATATTGCATGAGCATTTTTCACGTTCAGATAATTCTTGAAGTAGTTGAGGAACAATATCATTAACTGGAGTAAGACCAGAATTAGATTGGATTTTAGATTTGAGAACGCTTACTTCCATTTTCAAATTATCATTTTCTTTTTTAAGAGCTAATAGATCACTAACTAGGTTATCCATTTTGGCGAGAATAGCATCATTAGTCTTTTCTTGAGTTAATAATTTGGATTTTATAGATTGAATATCGCCATGCATGGATTTGAGTGAATTCATAATATCCTTTAGAGAATATTCATCGCTGCTAGACTTTGATTTCGACTTTATTTGCGGGGAAGACGACATGTCAAAATAAATAGGAGATTGCCCCTTAAAAGTTTCAAGGAAGCAACCAGTTTAACGGCGAAGTACAAGAATTTGACCACGTTGTTAATTTAGATACAGAAATCAGCCACAAGAACCAGCGTTAAAGTCTCTGAGAAAAACAGCTGAACAGATTCAGTTACAATAAAACTGGCGTTTTAATCAGCTGATCGAATAGAAGCAAGACACTTAACATTGATAAGACATGAACATATTACCATGTAATGATGTGGCATTCTATTATTTCGGACAAAGAGAAAACTTATGAACAGCAGCTCGGATAACAAAACGACTCACAAATACGAACTAGGATCCAATAAACACACTTTACAAACTATTAATATAAAGAGTACAGCTAAACGGTAAAATAAATTAATCAAAAAAGGAGTAAACTTTTCACTGTTATCACTGTTTAATATATGTTTAATATGTATTTTAAAAGGAGGTATTTTGACCTCCTTTTTTCAATGTTCCGTCTTTATTTAAATGCACACCAGTTTTGCCGAGAATCCTTTTGTACGCATACAAATCCGATTCGGAGTAAACACCAGGATTTTTCGAAAACAGTAAATCCACAAGACCCATAGTGAGCGGGAATTTTTCATCTAAAACATTAATTGTTCCTCTGTCGAGAAAGATATTGTCGGCTTCAACTAATGTCATTGTTCCATCCGGTGATACCTTTGGTCCATACATTTTATCTCTATTGGGGTTCATTGACCATTGATACATGTACTGATGGAAAAACCCGTCATCGTGTTCCACAGTGTATCTATCATCGTTTAAACTCTTGATAGTTTGCTGTAATTGTTCTTGTTGTTGTTGTTGTTTTTGCTGTTGCTGTGACGCAATTTTATCTAATGGTTCAATGATTGGCGCCAACTGACGTTTTACGCGAGTCAACGAATCCGCTTCGCCACGACGCAATTCTGTGTACTTTTTTCGAACATTTTCCCGGGCTTCAGTCAACAGTTTCAGCAATGTTTCCTTATCAGCACTCATATTGTAACAAATGTGTCAAACTTGTATCTGTATCGACCGTCGTCCCGCGCAAAGTCCAAACAAATCACTGCGAATCCGCACCGATCCTTGTTCCAACACTCTTTGCAAAACTCTTTGAATTCTCCAAATTTCATATCGCAACACACGTATTCATCGTACGCGTGTCGTAGATTAACTTCATCCTGCCGGAACAACACCACCACATTTGTGTTGTCACGTAACATTTGTTTTTGTATGCGCGACAGTGTTTGGGAGAGAAAAACACATCAACTTGCCTGTGTCGTCCTCGCGCGAAATAATCACACATTACATTTTGTTTTTCCATGACAACATCGTCGAATATAAAAACCGAATTGGGCAGGATGTTGTCCACCGATGGTACATCGCCCCCGTTTTCATAGGTAAACAACTGCACTCCTTGGACGCCGCGTAAAACATCCACGAGTAGTTGATACTTGCACTGATGCAACGATTTCGAGTAAACGTAAACATTTTCAAATCGAAGTCCGTTGATATCGGTCAATAGAGTAAACATCAAGTTTGTTTTTCCACAATTTGACGGTCCGCAAATCAATGCACGTATTGTATTTGGCAATAGTTTACCGTGTTTACTAGGTGCAATCTCACTACTTTTTTCAAAATTCACGATAGGTAGCGTGAGAGTCTGTTTTTTGAAACGCATCGCACGTCATCGAACAATAACTGTCAATATGAAAATAATGGTTAAACAGAGACAACGTGGAAAACGAGGTGCAGGGATATTGAATACTGTAATCAACAAATTACCATTCGANTATAGTTAATCAGAGACAACGTGGAAAACGAGGTGCAGGGATATTGAATACTGTAATCAACAAATTACCATTCGAAGCCCATATTCCAGGTGTGTGTAATTATTCAAAATAATTCCTCGCAAANGTGTGTAATTATTTAAAATAATTCCTCACAAATAGTTTTATCATTATTTTAAATGTTTATCATTTAGGTTATCAATTTGCGGGTCCTGGAACACGGTTAGAAAAGAGATTAAAACGAGGTGATATTGGGGTGAACCCGCTTGATGCTGCTTGCCGCAATCACGATATAATTTATAGTAAATACAAGAATCTCGAAGACCGTCATAATGCAGACAAGGTGTTGGAACATCAGGCTTGGGAACGAGTGTTGGCCAAAGACGCTAAATTGCCTGAACGAGTCGCAGCTTGGGGTGTGACCAACGCGATGAAATTGAAACGTAAACTCGGTATGGGTTTCAAACGAGTTGTGCATGCGGCCAAACTCGATAAAAATGCCCAACAAATGGATTTACTGAGTGTGGCAAAAAAATCGTTGAAGGCGGCACGACGTGTGGTGAGAAAAAAAAAAATTCAACTGCCCCGTACCATAAACGTTCCGAAAACTAAAGGCGGTGTACTACCGCTTATACCTATATTTGCCGGACTGTCGGAGTTGGGAGCTTTAGCCGGCGGTGCTGCAAATGTGGTCAAGATGGCTACCGAACTTAGCCGTAAAGGCAATACAGCGATAAGCATGGGTAAAGGATTTTACTTGCAACCATACAAATCGGGGTCTGGTTTCAAATTGACGACGAGTACGAAAAAGATGATTCGAAAAAATCAGACGAAAAAAACAAAAAACTAATTTCGCAGCTACCCGATCGTGCCTTGTACGATGTTGAAATTGCAAATTTCGGTAATCGAGCTTTCGACCATAAAGTGTTTCGTGGCGTGTTTTGTCGTGACACATTACCTAAGTCGGGACCGAAAACGTCCGAAATGGCTGTAGTGAACTTGGATCTTTCCACGAACCCTGGCACGCATTTGGTAGCTTATAGTAAACGCGGTAAACGTGTTACGTATTTTGACAGTTTTGGTAATTTACGACCACCGTTGGAACTGCAACGATACTTTAAAGGGTGTACAATGATGCACAACTATAGTAGATGTCAAAACTTCGACGAGGTAAATTGTGGTCACTAATGTTTGGAATTTTTAATCGAACAACAACAACATGACAACAACGGTAACGTTAACCGGCGTGGGATCTGAATTGCAATGCACATTCAATCCACCCATCGATGTCGGTGACAAATGTAAAATTGGGCTATTGAGCTTGCATACGTGGAACACTATACCTAATATTGACGAGGATTGTAACAAATTCATTTTCGGCACTGTTGACAAACCAATTATGGTGATAACACTACCGACGGGATCGTACGAATTTGAAGATTTACAGAAACGAATCACGGACAAGTACAACGGAGAAGAGTATAAGTACAGTGTGCAACAACAACAAATAGATTTTGATGATCCATTGTTGCCAACGGTTGGTTTACTCAAGGAAAACAGCAGAGAAATCGGTGACAAAAGGTTGGGTGATCGAAACGTTATCTCTTTTACAGCCGACCGCAACACTATGCGAAGCATAATCAAATGCGATCACCCCATAGATTTTACACACCCGCAATGAATCGGTCGTATACTAGGGTTCCGACCTCGTGTATTGACACCGAAAATGGAACACACGTCAGATTTCCCCTTATCTATAACAAAGGTGACATGCATACGAGTCGACTGCAATATAATTGTTGGTTCGTACCACGGAGGACGTCAATCGCATACATTGCACGAATTCTTTCCAAACGTACCACCGGGCTACCGGATTATCGAGTGTCCCAGACAAGTAGTTTACTATCCGTTAAACACAAACGTATTGAACACGATTCGAATCGCATTGCTCGATCAGGACGGTCAACGTGTCAACCTAAGAGGTGAAAAATTAACAGTGCGTCTACACATCAAACAGGATGGATGAAAGTACGATGACGTTATGGGACCGTATAAAACAGTTTGATTCCTCACAAANATACCGTATAAAACAGTTCGATTCCTCACAAATTGGATTATTTTTGTGTATACTAGTCACAGTCGTGCAACTATTACTACTCCTTCAAACATCCGTCAACAGCTGTCAGCTGATAAACAGTGATAACAGCAACAACAACAACAACAACAACAGTTCAGCCACAATTTATCGTTTGGAAGCACTGGCTCGAGAACTTTATTTAGTCGACGACCGTGTCTTTATACTGGAAAAACGTGTACACACTCTTAAATGCCTCTGAGTTTCAACAGGAGTGTAGTGCACCATCATTTGAGTGATGACATATACTCTACGACGGAGCAACCGGATAATCGTGCGACGCTATCGCAGCAGCAACTAACAAAGAAAAATATTGAATTTTTAAAATCGTTGGGTTGTCGAGTCAATCATGGCCGAGTACTTACACGTGTTGGAAAAATGTCAACAAGACGACAGTGTAAAACGCGAGTACTATCTGGAACATCAAAGTTACAACAACTCGTACGAACACAACGATGAAANTAACTCGTACAAACACAACGATGAAATCCGTATCGAAGTGCACAACAAGGAGAAATTTACCGTGCCGTGCGAAAGTTATTTGCAAATCGAAGGAAAACTGGAAAAACCACCAGCTGGAACAGCCGGTGAAATGGTTATGGGGCAAAATTTTCTCATGCACCTATTCGATGAAATCAGATTTGAGGTAAATGGTAAAGAAGTAGACAAGATAAAATACGTTGGTATGGCTACAACCATCAAGGGATATTGTTCATTCACACCCAACGACATTCGACGATTACAACCTGCCGGATGGAAATACGCGCAAATTTTGCACAACAACAACGATTTCGTCGATGGGACTGAATTTGTAGCGCAATGTCCATTATCTATGTGCATGGGATTTTTCGAACGGTATCGGCGCACACTGATAAACTGTACTCAGACTCTCGTGGTGAATAGATCGAGTACCGACAGCACTGTCGTATCATTTGTTCCACAGACAACAACAACAGACGATAAAGCGCAAATTGCAACATTGATAAAACAAATCAACGTGAAAATATCGAAAATCAAATGGGTAGTAAAGTACTTTGAACCCAGCGTGAAAACTGAACTGGGTCTGATGCGTATTCTGGACAGCAAGAAATGGCTCCCGTTAGAATTTCAACACTGGGACGTTGCCGTTTACCCGTTGGTACCGCAGACAACTCATCTCACGTGGTCGGTGCGCACCTATTCGAATGTGGAAAAACCTAGATATTTACTTATTGCCATGGGTAATGAGGACGAACACGTTCTCGGAGATTTCAATCACTGTTCATTGAGAAACGTCAAAGCGTATCTGAACGCTGACGAATACCCGTACGAGAACCAAAACGCCGATTTCGACAACAACAAGTACACAACGTTTTATAACTCGTACGCACAATTTCAGACAATGTATTACGGTCGTAAAGACCCCTATCCTTTACTGGACTATATAAATTACAAAAAACGTGGACCTATAGTCGTGATTGATTGTTCTAAACAAAACGACACCGTCAAGTCTTCAACGGTTGATCTACGCTTGGATTTCGAATGCTCCAAACAGTTTCCCGATAAAACATCATTGTATTGTGTAATTATTCACAACTGTCAAATGGAATACAACGCATTCACGGGAGAAGTACGAAAACTTTAATGTAAATACAAATTTTATTTTTTATTATTGTACAATTTACAATATAGTATAGAAACAAAAAATGTATATATAATTGCTATAATGTATATATATAATTTTNTGTATAACTGCTATAATGTATATATATAATTTTTTTAATAAAAAAACTAGTTGTTTTGTAAACTTGTTATTTTATTTCAATCATCTTCGAATTTGACTGGAAAAGTCACGATCTTTCTTGTCAATTTTTGGCAAAGTATCTATTCCTAGAAATGATCTGTTTGTAGCCAATTCCACCAGATTGGAGAAGTAATATACACGCTGAAAATTTTTTTTAAGTTTAAGTTTTAAGATGAAAAAATTAAATATTTTTAAACATACTTTCATGTGTGGATAATCGATGAAAATAATTTTCGATGTATTTTCTAAACATTTACCCATAAACTCCATACGACAAATTTCATGGAAATATAAAAAATCCAATGTTTTAATTTGGCTAAAAATTATCGGTTTCTTTTCAACCACCATACGATCAATTGAAGTCTGAAGTATAAGCTTCATTTCACGTACAATACGCAGACGTATATGAAACAGTTGTCGATTTATTTTCTAAAATAACATATCTTTAATGAAGTGCAATTGCGCAAACTCAGTTTTTTTAATCGAAAATACACGGCAATCATCACGTTTTGACTGAAACAGTAATGCAATTTCTTGGGTTAGTCTCCTCTGTGTCAGGCTCGCCTTAATGTATTCATCTTGCAAAAGTATTATTCCGTTTAAATTTTCTGTTATCGATAAAATATATCCGCACATAGAATACATTCTATGTAGTAAATCGACAGTGACAATAAGTTCCTGATGATTGTTTACCAACATGACTTTTAGCCAAAATGTATCGTCCTGGTCCTGACCAATGTATAAGACCAATAATATTATAATCATTAGAATATATGTTCCAGCAATTATTATCGTCGTCGTCGTCGTCGGCGGCGGCGGCGGCGGCGGCGGCGGTAGTAGTAGTGTTTATTTAAAAATGTGTTTTGCTATAAGAAAACTCTAACAGTCGTCATTATTATATATTGTCGACAAAAAAAAAATACTGATTTATTATTCACTATACCAATAACGGTCAAACTTATAGATCGTATATTAACAATTAATGCAATTGACGGCGACATCGACGCCGCGTAAAGCCATCTGCTGTATTTATCTCGAGTGCTATAGTGTAATCATCAATACAGCCATCTGGCACACAATGTTTCGAACTAATTTTTTTTTTTACAAATTAGGTAAAATTAACATTTTACGTACAGACTTTATCTAAATATATGCATGTCGCATATCAAAATAGCGGATTCGACGTTTAAAATTCATACTTTTCACCGTAACCGTATAGCTTATCTGGAAAATGCATTTTTTTTTTTTCGTCAAAAAAAACGATATTACGTATATACTATATGGCCGAGCATAATTTAGGTGCGCGACAAGTTGTGTTAGTTAACGTCTGTTTCATTACCCCCCTATCATAAGACTTGGTGGAAGAGGAGAGGTTCCTCACCTGCCTTAGGTTAGTTTACGTTGGGTTTCAACGTTCCCTCTCCCATTGCATTATGTTAGTTTACGTTGGATTTATTCCCCCCTCCACACCTCTTCACCAACACCCCATGTGGTGTGGTGGTTGGGTGAAGCGGGGGGGACCAAAATCCCCTATATTACCCTACTTAGGTTTATATTAAAATGTCTCCCTTCTAAACCAAGAAAAGCGACACTGAAAATTTAAACTAGCTTAAATTGACCATTTTATCATCCTTGAAGTGCATTGTACAATTACTCGATTGAGAATGAGTTACAATCGCTGAAGATAGATAGTAGATAAAATCATAGCAGTGTCCATCCGACGCACTTAATTTTTGCTCTATTCTCTTTTTTTAAGTCCGTCTCCCATTTTTCTCTACTCTCACCCGACTGAATTTTTTCAACAACATGTCAAAATATCACAAATTGTATCAAGTTGAAGATTTTATCCTAAAAAATTATAAAAAAAATTCCCTCGTTATTCGTAAATAGAGGAATTTCTCCAAAAAATTACAATTTTAGAAAACGATAAATTACGAAATTTTTTTACTTAAAACTGCCATTACTCTTTTAAAAATGGATGTATCAATACGAATTTTTTTATTAATACCTTAGATATGTCTCTTTTATTTGGTGTATTGTGAGTTAAAAAAAAATTGTGCCCATGACTTGTCTTTTATACGTAAATGGCCCCCAATATTAAACAAAAATCATTTTTACGAATTCATATTCGTAAAAAATAACCGTTTATCGTGTTGTTATAATTGACTAATTCTACTATAATTTTATGTCAAACAATATACTCATATAGAAGGAGGAGGTAAGTACCCCCAATTAAACCCCACCTATTACAAAAAAAAAGTAAATTTAATTGTTAATTATAAATATTTTTAGAGAGGAATTTTGAAGATTTTTTTAATGTCCGTCCAAAAAATATATATACAACGGAAGAGGCTACTCATTTCATAAAAATTGTTTTAGCTACCAATGGCTTATGATAAATTATAATTTCAAAATATAACTGAAATTATAATGAATTGACGAGGGTTAGAATAATCGAACTTTTTTTTAGCTTCGATGCAAAGCTGAGAAGGTATAATTTTTTCATTTATTATTGTGATGATATCACACTATTACAAATTAGAAAAGTAATTAAAAATTCCAACTAAAAGTGTGGTTTAGACTTAATTTAAACAAATTTTGTCTCAATTATACAATATATGTTTTATTTTCTTATTAAAGTAAGATTATGAGGACGTGTAGTTAATTTATCAAGTTATCAGTGGGATATAGTAGTGATTGTTACTCATTTTTATTATTTTACAATGTTTAATGTTTTCACGTCATGTATATTATGTACTATACTCGCTCTGTATAATAAAGTCATGGCTAATGATAGTTTTATCGATATTATGAATATAAGTGGTAAAATTAAATCGATATTTTGTGTTTCATTGAATAGTTATTTGATGAATGCTTTAAAACTAAGATTGTGATGTACTGTTTTAAGGTATGAAAATTTATATAGTTGATTTTAATAATGCTTCAGTATAATATGCTGTATTATTGACATTTAAATAAAGATATTCTATGCGGGCTCTTGAATTACGTTTTACAATATAGCATAAACATATACAATTCATCGTCTAGACATTTGATAGTAGATAATAGTAGATAATTAAGTCGTGGCACAATTATACAAGATATAGTATGTAAGGTAGTTGCTATTTTTAAAGTCTTAAAATTTGAGGAGCGCCGGCTGGAACTTTATTCCTATACGTTTAAAGATAATTTATACAAAATTTGTTGCGGCGAGTTATATACGGTCGCGTTCAACTTACAACCCAAATGGAACCGGTTACATATATTAAGTGGGGATGCCGTTCGCTGTTCGGTAAATCGTCGCCTTATCTGGTCAGTCAACCATTGTACGGTCTAGTTGATTAGACCCATCGGCGCCGCCACGAGTTTTTCCGCGACTTTGCGGTATCGTAACGTAAATGTGAATTCGGTGGATTTCCGTGCGTGTGATCAATATAATTGAGTTCGTGTTTTGTTTCATTCAAACGGTTGAAGTTGGTTGAGTATAACAGTTATAATCCGATCATTAATATTCTGTCCAGGTCAGATTATTGAATTCTACAACACTTAAAATCTTATACTTGTACTCATTTTATTGCAGTGTACTATTTAGTTGTTATTATTAATGTAAGTGGGGACGCCCAACTATAAAGTTAATTACACTAATATTGTTATTATAGACAACTTCCTTTTGAGTTTCTTTATTTAATAAGTTTTAGGATTTCCTTTTATTCACGTCCTAAGTCAATCAGGCCAACCGATATTTAGGAGCCTGTAGACGAACAAAATTTGAGCTTTACACGACTTAACAGTTTTTGTATTACAAGACTAATGTTTTCATCTTACGGGAAATATTGTAATCACTAATATTTTACAGTAAGGAAATAGTTTCTATTGTTCTCATTGTTTATAACAATTGACCTGTTTTCTTACTTTTCGAACATTCTGATATATTGTAATTTTCTTTACAATTTTTTGTTAAGTGAATACTTTGTTACTAGTTTCTAATGAATCGAAAAATAATTAATAATCGATAATTAATTTTGTATTACTACTTTTTGAGATAATATAATTTTTAGTTACAGGCAAGTGGATTGCGCAACGCGGAAGAATTTATATTTGTGCGTTATTGTAAAAATGAACGTCGTTAATCACTACTCTGCTCTCCGCCTTTGGTAAATCTTTAAATGCTAATAACTCAAAAAGTGATGTTACAAAAAGAGTTATCGACCAGTCAACATTTTATTTAAACTATTCGCCATTTAATAGTAAAAAAATATATATAGATTTCTTTTTAACTTTTGAAATTTACACCTAAAGTCTACCCTTACAAATAATTTTTTCTTACATTAATCTTAATATTTATTATGGTTAAAAAAAAATATTATTTTTATTTGTAAATATTTATGAAAAAATCTTTATTTAACGAAAAATAGGGGGTTGTGTATTTAATAAATCACACTGAATAGTTCGGCAAAAGTGCAGCTAGAAATTTAAATAAGAGTTATAGAATATTTCCTTACTTAACTATTTAAGGCCTATTTGTTTTGCCAATCACTCTATTTTTTAGATAAATATTCCGTTTATTTGAGAGACCATAGATCTTCTAATCTACTTGGTTACTCTGCACAATGGAAAAAAGTTAGCCAAAAACCATATTCTAAATATAACAATCAAATAACTTGTACATTGGGTGATCACGACCAATTTTTAAATTTGAATCATTCTAGGAGGGTTAGGGGGTAGTTTTAGCTTCGATACGAAACTGAGAAGGTATTAATTTTACTATGATTTGTTTTCTTTATCTAAATGAAATACCTTTTTGAAGTGCCGTATGAATTTTATTTTTAAAATGTTTAAAATATAAAACTTTGAATTACTTTTTTTCTTCAATTGTATTGTTATTAAAATTAGATAATATATATTCATTAGGGTGGCCCTCAAAAATCTAATGTCTTTTTTTTTTTTTTACGCTACCCCTTGATTTTTTTTTAATGGTCAAAAAAATGAGCTGTGCAAAATTTGGGACCGATCCGTTAAGGTTAACCCGTGCCCCCGGGCCTATTAAGTTGAGTCGAAGAGTCAAATTTAATAGAAATAACTGATCTATGTTTCATAACTTTTTTTTCTCTTAACTTAGAATAATAAAAGTAAAACTCAAGTAAAGGAAATTTTACAAGAAATTCAAAAATAATAACTTCAATGTTGTTTTCTCAATAAATAGCCCACAAAAACACTACATACAGTAAAAAACATGTAAAAGTGTTAAAATACGTTATAACTGATTTTGTTGATTTTTAATTATTTATTTTCATTTTATTTTTTGGTTTTTTCCAATGTTTTTTCCATTGGCTCAGTAAAAGCGACCATGGTGAAAAATTTAAATAACAAACCACGAGTATTGAAAAAATGATAACTTTGATCGACCTCTATGAAAAGAACAGTAGATAGTAGTAGCTAATTTTACCTAAATATTTTCGGTAGAAAATGGTCTATTCAATAGTATAGTTTTCAACGTCTAATTCCATGAATAAATACTTAAATACACATATTATGTATATATTTATGACTTTGATAAGGAAATATTGATATAAGTAGACATTTCATTATTGCATAGTTGGATCAAGTATTATGATATCTGACAATGATTTAAATCACTATCAAAAAAAATGCTTCGATGCAAATCTTTAGATAGTGTTTAATTTAAAAAAATTGGTGGATTATACCAAAAGCAACATGATCTGCTACTTCGTTATTAATATCCTGATTCAGATAAAGTATGTCGAATGAAAAAGGGATTATTAAAAAATATTATTTCTCATAAAAAAATTGTGTGGATCCATAAACTTTTCAATAAGTTATAGCATTATAAAGTTAAATATAATATAAATAATAAAATCGAGAATTTTCACACGATAATAGCATTCAGTAGCCATTTTTACCGTGAAGATAAAATAAAGTCCGAAATTTTTTTTTTGCATAATAAAGAACATTACATTAGCTTTAATTTAAGATATATATAAAAATGTCAGACCTTCTGGAACATTTTCAAAAGTTAATAATAAAGTTGAAAAAGTTAATTTTTTGTGAAAAAGTTGTCAATTTAAATCCCCCCTTGTGGGCAGGTTAAGGGTTAAATTTATAAAAAAAATATATCAAATGAAAGGTAATAACATTATGCATCTATATAAAAAAGAATTATATTGAAATGTTCATTTTTGAAAAATTTATGGCACTTTTAAGTAAAAAAAATTGAAAAAATTTCGAAAATTAGCGATTTTTAAATTTGTAATTTTTTTGGAGGTTTCCCCCATTTATGGGGAACGAAGGAATTTTTTCAATTTTTGAGGGTAATGTCTTCATCTAGATACGATTTGTGATATTTTGACGTATCATTGAAAGAAATCCGTTCGGCGAGAGCTGAGAAAGTGGTAACAGACACAAAAAATAAAAATAAACACATCTTAGTGAAACCAATACCTTTTCAGCTTCCCATCGAAGCTAAAAAAGTATAAAATGTTATGCAAATCATTAGTTATATGAGTTTATTATATAGTTAAATAGATCTGTTCTATTCTGTATAGTATAATAATTACAGATAAACAAATATAATACAATATTAAAACGTCTAATTCTTTAAACTAAATTAATTTTATATTGAAGTAAGAATAATAAAACTATGAGTTTTCGTTAAAAGTTCATAAAATATATTATAGAACTGTGTTTTGTTATATCAGTTTACTTCTAAAAAAATTTGGTACTGATTGATTGATACGTAAATTTAATATTAATTTAAATTGAAGAATTGGAAGTTTTAGTATTCAATTATATTACTTATACTCGATTTTAATGAGTTATATAAAAGTTAGGTAACTTTAAAAGCTTGCACACATTCATAATTAAAAGAAATTATATATATTTTATCAAATAGATAAATTTACTGACATTAAGACTCTTACTGAAACTGTAGAAAAATATCAGGGCATGTATATAGAAGCAAAAAATAAAAATAATGAACATGAAATTGATAGAATTAATACAGAATTGGGACGAATACTTGCTGCAGAAAATACAAATAACGAAGAGTTGGTTAAAAGTCTAAAAAAATTCGTAGAAATGTTTCATGGAAATTTATAACATTATAGTTTAATAACTCTATGTTGTAGAATTGTGTGATGCGACTGCGATGTCTATTATAATAGGAATCAAAAAAGTTTAAAAATATTAATGATATAAATATATACTATTCGTACATTATTTTATTCAGTTCCTATAATTTTTTAATGGCTTATAATTAACAAATAATCTAAATATATTTGATATTATAAAAATAATGAAGTAGTTGTATATTTATTTATTTTTAACACGTGTAAAAATTTAAAGGGCTTGATGCAATACTTTTCACTAAAACATTTTTGTTATTTATGAATAAATACACTGCACTACAATGAACTTTTATCGGAAACAAAAATATACTTTTCCAAATCAATATTTCGCGATGTTTACAAATGTGCAAATTTTATGAGAATTAAAAAAATTGCATTGTTAAAATTAATATGTAATCAGAAAATGTTATAACTACTGTCTATAGTAAATTTATCAGAAAATCTCAATATTTTTTTGTATTTTTATTGTAATAGATCACTTAAATAGAAATCATAGTAATCACTTCTAATTAACTTTTGGTATTTAAAAAGATTCTACAATTGAAATATGCAGAACTGAATTAATTTTAATAATTTATTTTAACTAAAAAAACCAATCAAAAAATGTTGTTAAAAAGATCTACACAATTGAGCGTATTATACAATTATAATTATAAAAATCCATTGTTAAATTCAAGTGAAACTAAAAATCATTTTTTCTAGAAATGATTTATACAGCAAAATGTTAACAAAAAATGTGAAATATTACAGACTGGTAGTAACACACACAAATAGAGTAAAAAAATTAATAAATTACAAATTAAAATGATTTAATTTTTTAGTTGAAACCTATTATCATATCGAACTTAATTCATCATTAAACACTTTGAAAATATTAAAAATGAATAATTTCATTTGCCAGTATGAAGTATGTGGAATAAGTTTAATAATACTGTTTAATTGATAAATTATATTTCTTTTCTATTATTGAGGGTAATATGTTCAACTAGATACGAATATATCAATTAACGTACCGTTGAAAAAAGTATGTCAAGTTAGAGCTCAGAATTAAATGATAGTCACAAAAAAAAACCATGTAGTAAAACAATTTTAATAAGTATAAACTTTCTATGGTGTTTCAATTAGATTTATATAATATTTATGAAAATCTGTGTACACCTATTGTAAGGTATTTTAAAATAAAATAAAATACAAAGCCCAGAATTTAAAACATAAATAGCATATTTTTGAATACTGAGACTATTTTTACATTGAATTCTAGAGGTCAAATTTTTTTTTTCAAAATAAAGTTTATTACATAGGCTATAAATCAAAGTGTATATAAAATTTGCAGTATTTTCGGAACATTTTCAAAAGTTAAGTTGAAAAAGTTATTAAAAAGACCATTATAGTTATAGGATGTTGTGATGAATATTTATCCATGAGATTATTTTGATAACAGATAATATATATTATTTAGCGCCTCCCTTATGTTTATTATGATTTAATGTACGACAATACTGTTATTTGAGGAGTATTACCTCTTCATTTATTACAATTAAGCGCGTGAAAGAAGCACTTCCTCCTCCCACCATTATTTATTAGTTGTATTTTATAGAGTGATTCACATCTCGCATAGTATTAAATACGCCCACTCTTTAGTCAATAATTAATATAAAACACCACTGAACGTGAAGAAACAATAGTATTGTGTTATCGTATTTCATTAAAGTGTGTGTTAGTAATATGAACATGACTGCAGGCGTAAAAGATATTAAAATGTCTATGAGGTATCCATCTCAACCTGACTTGACTGTACTTGCAACGTCTGTATTCAATTTGAATTTTGTTGAGAGAAAATTCATACACATCGGCTGCACATGTTTAAGCGACCGTTATTCTCCAATAGTAATAATAATATCTCCAAGTATGTACTTTTAGATAGATATCGATAAATTTATTGCATTTTTAAATTTAATCGATGAAGTTTTATCATTTATGGACCATTCATGTAATTCAAAAATTAATTTGAGTGCCGTTTTTAACATTGTAAAATCGAAATGTTTTTAAAAAAGTTATCTATCAATATCAGGTAAAGGTAGTGAAGAGGAAATAATGGGACGTATATCATTGACCGAAGAAAATCTGATAGCGTTTAAAAAAATGAAGTCATGTCTCTTGGTTGGGTTTAACTTATTGTTTATGCAGAGTAAAGAAGTTTACAAAAAAGTAAAAGATATTGTATGAAACAAGTTTTTAGTATTACCCGAAAATTTAATGTAATCAATCATAATAAGCATTGATATATAGTTATTGCCAAAGATATCAACAGCACAATTGTCCACATATGATCGTATCGTATTCTTGCATACGACTGTAATTAAATTTTATACAACATTTAGAATTATCTAACATAAATAGTTACATAATTCTAAAGGCGGTGATAAGTAGTGGTGTATAATTTTAAAAAATTGATGGAATATACAAAAGTAAAATGAACTCTTATTTCCTTAATTATATTCGAATAATAAGTTTGATAGATATGATATTTGAATAACGTGAATTAACAGTGTAGAAAATATGATTACGGAAACTAATTTATGGTTTAGTGCATTATATTATATGAGTTGCATTTCTTCATTCTGCATATAATAATTATTGTTATATAATATATTTAACGTTTAAAATCCCGTTGTCCCACGTAATAATACTAAATCAGTAGAAATTAGTGAATTAGTATTTTTTTATAATGAAAATATTAAATAATTATGATTCTGATTTTAATGCGGATTCTATATATATATAATGAAGTAAAATCCCAGTGATATATTATAAGAGATGAAATTTATAAAATAAATTCAAAATTCTATTGAATTTATTGTTAAGATAGTGTAAAATGCTCACCTCCTTTGTATACATACGCCTACTTATACATAAAGTTGTATATCATGCATTTAAAGTTTTAATTAAAATTTTCACATGTAATAATACTAATAAGTGTATTTGTGTTTGTTAATAATGGGTACTTTAAATAATTATGATTCAGATTTATTGAGGGTACTATAAATACAATGAAGTAGAATTCCACTGTCCTATTATAGTACATGAAATTTATAAAAAATTACCACGTGATATTCAACACTGTATATTATTTAATCCAGAAGAATACGGTGCGGAAGATATTGATATGTTTTTTTCATCGTAAACGACACTTGGAATGTCGCATATGCTTTTTACCACGATCCTGGTAAAAATAAATTTTACTGTTAAAATGAGAAATGTTACTCAAATTCTCCATATAGAAAAGGTGAATCTGTTAATGTTTATTTTGGGGTAAAAACTTTATGGATTAATAGAACTCGTTGTTTTTTAAAGATTATAAAAAAATTGAAGTGTGTTACATGTGAAAGGAGATTAGCCCGATGGATGTTTATATCAGCATACTCTATGCCTATTTGGGATCTCGAAACGACCATTTTAATTCATACAAGAAAGTGAAAAGTTCTATGAAAATTATAATATTTACATTATTTAGTTAGTATAATATATTTTTAGTATTAACTATATATATCTAATTATAAATTATAGAGCTTAACTGAATATTGAACTGAATTGATTAAATAATATACATAAACCACTTAAAATAATATATATTACATTTAACTCTCTTATTATATTAATAACTAGATTATAATACTTTAATAACAATATATTAATTTACTTTATTAGATTATTTAATATACGAGACACGTCCAGAAAGTAAGTGTACTGGTGCTCTCGCAGCTGTAGGGAATACTTTTTCGACATGTTGGCTACACTGCCACCAGTGGTGTACCGATAGGGTGCCATGACGGGCATTGAGCTACGGGCCCATGACTCAAGGGAGCCCGATAAGAAATATAGCAAATCCAAAAAATAAATCACCAATATAACAATAATTAAAAATTTTATGATTTAAAAAACTTTGTTCTACAAAAATGAATTGTTAAAATTAATTGACTATTCAGAATATATGATTATGTTATACGTAGATTATTTTATCTTATAGCTCGTAGATGCCTGGAATATTTCATAATAATTGTGTAACGAAAATAAAATTGCAATAACGAATTGCAATCATATGATTAGAAACTAGGCGAGTGAATTTATATTTAGAACAGTATTACCTCTCGTCCAGGAAATTGTATTGACTACGGTCAATTTGTATCCACTATTATTTTACACGATATTCATTTAATTATTTTATATTTATTATTAGTCAGTAATGTGTCGTCTCTCCTTGATCGATTTCGCTTTCGTACTTACCAATGAATCGTGAATAATTTTGTAATCATGTCAAAAAAAGTTCTTAGTGACCATGAAAAGCGTAAAAAAAAATTGAAGAACAAGACAAATAATTTAAACTGCCAAAAATAAGTGATTTTTTTCCTAGTACTGTATAAGTTATTATAGATAGTATTAACACCGAGATTAATGTAAATACAAGCGTAGAAATTAGTACAACTACAAGTGAAACTAGTAAAGTCGTCAACCCTGAAATTTTGCCATTTTCTCCACCTAAAGGTATGTATGAAAAAAAATCGTTTGATACTGTTTTTAAAAATATTATTGAAACCTCTTCTGATCCGACGGATCTTGGATATTTTAAAGAAACCGTTTTAGATGCTCAAACTAAACGGTTCATAATTCAATTAAATACAATAAAGACATATCGAAAACATTTACGAGTGAAATATTAATTGTAAGATCAACTCTTAAAAATGAAATAAGTAAAATTGTTTCAATTCGAGATCTTTCTCAGCTTTTAATGGTTAAAAATCATTCATTAAAAAATTCCCTCGTTCCCTGTAAACGGGGGAAATCCCCCAAAAAGTTACAAATTTAAAAATCGCTAATTTTTGATATTTTTTCATTTTTAGCTTCGATGCGAAGCGGAAAAGGTATTAATTTTACTATGATGTGTTTTTTTTTTTTTTTTATGTCTGTTGCCACTTTTTCTCAGCTCTCACTGGATCGATTTCTTTCCAAAATACGTCAAAAGATCTCAAATCGTATCTAGTTGAAGACATTACCCTTAAAAATTAAAAAAAATTCCCTTGAT